TGTGTGCCGGGGGGAGCCAAAGCGCCAGGAGTGGATGTAGCCGACAGACTGACTGACAGGCAGGTCGCCATGACAATCCGTTATCTTGGGGCAAGTCGGCCCGTCTCTGTCACACTCGTCATCACCCTCGTCTATCTGTCTGTCCATCTGCATGTCATTTTCCACTCTCTCATCGGCTCTTCCTCCCCTCACTCGCCCTCACGTCGGCTCTGTTTTTTCACTATGTCACTTGTTGCAATTCAGATTTTCTCTCGCCCGCACCAAAGCTAAAAACCAGGTGAACTACCAGATGTATTTTTATTGGAGGATATCTTGCATGACTTGATGTTCTCCAGGGTGACAGTACAGCTCATTATTCAGGTCACATTAAAAGACCATCAGTGACAATATGAAACATGTTTCAAATCAAATCAAATAAAAGATTTTTTATATATGTCTTTAAAAAGCAGCAACTTGTTGACCAAAGTACATCACATAGGCTACATAAAAATAAAATAAAGAGCAAGAGAAGCAGACTATAAACACATTAGAGGAGCAGACATGTCAACTCCACTATGATCCAAAGGCCTTGGAAAACCAACAGGTTTTGTGCAGTGATTTAAAGACTGGCAGATTCATTGTGGATGTAATATTAACAGGTAAACTGTTCCACAGTTTGGTCACAAACTGGAGAGCAGCATTTGTGTTGTTGTCCTGGCTTTTCAGACAATAGCATCAGATGTATGTAGCCAAAACCAACAGGTTATTTCTTAGAAAATTGGCCCACACACTGTGTTATGAGGCTCTGAATAGTCAAATGTGATGTCCAGTGAGAACTTAAACACCCCCACATTATATCAGTTGTCAGTGTAATCCAACATCTGAACACACCTGCCATTCTTTCTCCAGCTGAAATCAAACATAGTTGGACAGACAGCACTGTTGCAGAAGTTCCTACAGATGTGTTGCACTTGTAGGCTGCTTTGCTTTCACTCTGGACACTGTGCTGCTGTTCCAGCATTTGTTCTTTCCTTCTCCACAGCCTGGAGGTGGTTTAGGCTCATTATCCTGCTACAGAATGAAACCGTGAGAAGCTCTGACTTCCTTTGTTCACGGCCTTTTTCCAAATGCTGCTTCAGAGGGTGCATTAACAGTCTTTTGCAACGCTGCCTTTGTACAGACAGAATCTGTTGCTGTAAGTCATCGGTTTTCAAGGCTTCATTTACTTCCACTGCTGCAGAAAAGACTAAGGTTCACCTGTTATTGGATCCATGAAAAAGGCCTGGTTTATATGACTTTACACACATTTTACATTTTTAGTTTTTGAGTGACTGTTTTTGTTTGTTTGTTTGTTTCACCTCTGGCAGTTTACTCCTTAGTTCTGTACTACTGAAAACTATTCACGGGACTCAAACTGCTTAAATGTAAAAAGTAAACAGCTAACCACAGCTGCCATGCACAGGTACTGTAAAAAGCACAAGTGGACTGTTCAAATCAATCTGTGCTTTTCACTGAATTGCCATGTAACAGTAAAGTAACTATGATGATCCAGAACAGAACAATGAGATCCGGCAGATTTACACTGTACATGCTGATTAGAAACCGGGTTTGTTGGTACGAGTCATCAGGTCCTTGTATAACCGAAGTGAGAGTTGTGTTTCTATACTCGACAAGAAGTTAAACAGGCTTCCAGCTGGTGTCAGCCTTCATCAGGGCCGTCCCTTGTCACTGATCCCCTTTGTGATTTTCATGGACAGGATCTCAAGGTGCAGCTGGGGTGAGGGCAGTGTCCGGTTTGGAGACCTCGGAATTGCATCTCTGCTATATGCTGATGATGTGGTTCTGTTGTCTTCATCAGATCGTGACCTCCAGCACGTACTGACCAAAGTTGGACTCTGAACAAAACTGGGTGCAGAAATCTGATTGACCAGTGAAAAGTTTTCTTGCTCGGTGTGTGCCAGAAATGAGCTGATTGCCGCTGATTCTTCACTGTACAACTTTATTTCCCCATAGGAGATGATTCGTTTTGCATTAGAATATAATAAAGATGAAAGAATTACAAACATCTTCACTCTGACTGAAAACATTTCACTCACACAGACATTTAATCTGCTCCTCTCTGTGTGCGTTTACCAGTACCAACACTGAGCAGCTCAAAGGTCAAAGGTCCAGCCG